CGTGGGCTCAGGCAATCCACTCACCTCAGCCTCCCAAAGGCGCGGGATGACAGGCTGAGCCACCGAGCCCGGCTAAGAGTCTGAATTTCTGTGGGAGGAAACTCAGCACCCCCCAGCACACCCTTTGCACTTATCCACACCTCACCCCTCTCTCCTGGTCTTCCCTTATCGGTTGCATCTAAATCGACTCTCCCTCCATTTCTGTTTTCCCCAGCGAGCCCCATTCTGGAAGCTGTCGGTCCCAGGGCGCTGGGGAGGGCTGAGGCCGACCATGCCGAGTCTGTTGCTGCTGTTCACGGCTGCTCTGCTCTCCAGCTGGGCCCAACTTCTGACAGACGCCAGCTCCTGGTGGTGAGTGAGAAGGGCTGAAGTCCTGCTCCTACGGCCTGAGGCCTTTGAGATGTGGATACGGTGTCAGGATCACACCTGGATTCCTAGGAACACTGAAGACCTCTTCTATCCCTGGAAAATTAGGAGAGCTCTGTGTCTTCCTCGAGCGCCCATGGCGGAGGGTTCTCTGCGGATGAAGGATCAGCTTGTTTGGCTTTTTGCTCTGACCTTCTCCCATCCCCATAAATTGTTAGCCATAGCTCTTGTATCAATGCTGGATATTGATACCTGCGGGATTTTTGTTTTTGTTTTGTTTTTGCTGGTAGGAACAGGGAGAGTAGAATTCCTAGTTCACAAGTCTGAAGACCAGATGAGGGATTTGCAGGACCATGGGTAGCTTTCTTCTTGTGTCTTTAAGGCTACTGTCACTGCCAAGTCAACATGGAAATGGCAGGCAATTGCCTCTTATTTTGCATGATCCGTGTCCCACTCACATTTTTACCCAGATGGCAAATCTACAGCCTTCTCATCTAATCTAACGCTTTTTCTTTGAGTTGGCTTCTCACTGTGTTGCCCAGGCTGGAGTGCAGTGGCATGCTCACAGCCACTGCAGCCTTGACCTGCGGGGCTCAGGTGGTCCTTTCTCCTCAGTCTTCCAAGTAGCTGGAACTACAGGCGCACGCTACCATGCCCGGCTAATGTTTTGATGTATTGTAGAGATGAGGTCTCGCCTAGTTGCCTGGGCTGGTTTTGAACCCATGGGTTTAGGCAGTCCTCTCACCTCAGCCTCCCAAAGTGCTGGGATTACAGGCATGAGCCACCACACCCAGCCTAATTTAACAGTTTATATGGCTGGTAGATGGTGAGCAAAAGTCAGAGCCCTCGTGCTGAGGAAGAGTGTGTTGGGGGGTGTGTGTAGAGTGAGACGTGGATATACTAGGATACATGTAAGTTGGACATTATTAATATTATTTTGAGTCAGAGTCTCACTCTGTTGTCCAGGATGGAGTGCAGTGGCACCATCATGGCTCACTGCGGCCTTGACTTTCTGAGCTCACGGGATCCTTCCACCTCAGCCTCCCAAATAGCTGGGGCTATAGGTGTGCGCCACGAAGCCCAGTTTATTTTTTAATTTCATTCATTTATTTTTTATTGTTTAATTTTTTTGTAGAGATGAGGTCTCACTATGTTGCCCAGACTGGTCTTGAACTCCTGGACTCAGGCAGTCCTCTCACCTTGGCCTCCCTAAGTGCTGGGATTACTGGTGTGAGCCACCGCCCCTGGTGGATTCTATTTTTAAAGAGGAGTTCCACTTAGTGGAACGGACTCCTTTCCATCACACATCCTACACTTGGGCTACACTGAACTAACTGCTTCTATTCCTGGAGTGAGGCACGTGCTTTCCTGTTGAGGTTTGCCTCTTTTCACCCACTGCCTCAAATGCGTAGCCGCCCCCCACCCCTAAGACCCAGTTCACATTCTGGCCCTCTGCTCAAAAAGGCTTCTCCTCAGTGCAAAAACTCACTCCCCATCCGATCACAACAGATCCAGAAACTTGGGCCTGTCTTGTGCATTTGGCATCTCACGTGTCATTTGTGTTCACGCCTCAGTTTCCCTCTTTGAGGACAGGCTCTTTGTTTTACTAATTTTTCTTTCTAAGCCCTTGGTCTAGGGCCTGTACACAGGAAAGCATTCAATGCAAGTGCTGAGTTAACTTAACGAGGAACCCAGGCCTCTTCTCACTCCTGGGCCTTTCCCCCTTTCTGGACTGCTGTTGTAGGTCCTTAGCTATGAACCCGGTGCAGAGACCCGAGATGTTCATCATCGGCGCCCAGCCTGTGTGTAGTCAGCTTCCCGGGCTCTCCCCTGGCCAGAGGAAGCTGTGCCAATTGTACCAGGAGCACATGGCCTACATAGGAGAGGGAGCCAAGACGGGCATCAAGGAATGTCAGCACCAGTTCCGGCAGCGGCGGTGGAACTGCAGCACCGTGGACAACACGTCTGTCTTTGGGAGAGTCATGCAGATAGGTAAGAGCCACCAGGGGGCTTGGCTGAAGGCCCTGGGCGCAATTAAGCGCTCTCAGCACTGGCCCGGGGAGAGCGCCAAGGAAAGCCTAGTTGGGTTCTCTCTAGGCTTGGCAGCAGCGCGCAAAAAAGAGGCGGACTTGGAGACTATAGCTCCGTGTTCCTCTAACCCTCTGCTTTCCAGCTTCACCCTGGGACAGGTGGTGGGTGACTCACTCTGGGTGGGAGGGCAGCACATCTGAGTTGAGTTAGAGTGGATTAGGAGACCCGTCCACCACCACCCCCTTTGTCTCTGGGCAACAAGAATCTTCTGTTCTTTTTTTTTTTTTTTTTTTAGAGCCTTGGGTAGAGAATCAAAAATTGCAGCCCTGACGGTCTGTAGGATTTTTGCCTGTTCCCTTGGACCCTTGAAGGAGAGAGAGAAATGTCAGGCCAAACTTGGTGGTAGCTGTCACTGGCACGACCCAGTTTCCAGTCCTGATGTTTACAGTTTGAAAGGGTTGAGTGTGAAAGCTGGGGGAGGGGTCCGAGGAAAGACAAAGATGAGAGGGAGAGGGAGAGGGCTGCGTCTTCCTGGAGTCCCGTCTCTCCCCTCTTCCACTGCTGGCCTGGGATCCTTTGGCTACCCTATTGCTTAGAAGGAGGTGTGACCCGAGGTCTAATTGTTTCAGGTCCTTTTGAAATGCAATCCTCCCCTCCCTGGCAAGAAATTGAGAAATCCGGCCCTATTCCACTGGGTCTTATCCCCAGGACCATAAAAGGAAGGTGTCAGAACACTGTATTCGTCCTGTCCTGTCTCACCTTCTTCCAGAACTGCTCCCCTCAAAGGCGACATTCTGGAGTTACCTGCAGCTGGAGTTTTCCCAAAGAATGATTTTTAGCCCTTCTCCGGCTTATTCCAGACCTGTTTCTCTTACCCTGCCTGCCCTGTCTTGAGAACTAAAGACGGGGAAAGTCCACTTTGAACTTGCTGCTCTCTTGCTTCCTTCCATATCAGTTCAAGATCCATGGAAGGAATGCTCATGTGTTCCTATGCAGTCTTACGGGGGAATGTTCCCAAAAGAGTGGACGTGGGGATTTACTGGGATTTATTCACCATGTATCGGTTCTTCTCAAATCTGCTCGGTCTTTGTCCCTTCTTCCTGGTTAAAGTCTTGACCAGAGCACTTCCTGCCCTGTGTTCTGGGTGAAGAAGCCGGGATGACCCCGGCGTAGAGGGACCATCATCCAGTCACTTCAAGGGAGCTAATGTTTGTTGGGGACCAGACAGGCTCTCCCCTCTCCCACTGCTGGCCTAGGATCCTTTGGCCACCCTGTCGCTTAGATGGAGGTGTGATCCGAGGTCTAATAGTTTCAGGTCCTAGATCCTTTCTGTGTATTATTTCGTGTGAGTGGCCGAAAAGTGAGGCTCTGCTTGAGGAAAGAAAGGGGTTGGCAGGACCGGGCACTCCCCTGGGTCTGGACGGGCGTGATGCCATGACTCCTGGAAGCAGACCTTGTCCGAAGGGGCACATCTCTCCGTATTCTATTCTGTGGCTCAGTGGAACCCTTCTGCTTACCTAATTGTCCCCATTCCTTTTTGTAGCTTCCCTGAAGGCTCATGCTACCTGGGAAGCTGTCCTCCCTTCCTCCCCCTGGGCCCAGAGTAGCTCCCGGGTGAGTCACTCATGTATGACTTCCTCAAGCCTCCTTTCCTCCTTGAAGCTGCTGCAAAGTCGGTCACCAGAGGGCGGCAGAGTCGCTTGGAGGAGCCTGGGTACCTCTTCTGGCCTCTGCCTAGAGGACCTGTGGGCACCTTCTGTAGATGAACCTGCACGCTGCTTATCCCATCTGGAGCTCCAAGTTCTCTCTTTCTTGCCGAGGGTAGCAATGGTGGTCTATCCTTATCAGGCTAAACTGGGCACGGTGGCTTGTGCCTGCAATCCCAGCACTTTGGAAGGCGGAGGCGAGAGGATCTCTTGAGCTCAGGAGTTCAAGACCAGCCTGGGTCATCTAGTGAGACAAAAAAAAAAAAAAAAAAAAAAATCGGAAAATTGGCCAGGTGTGGTGGTCCACATCTGAGGTCCTAGCTACCTAGGAGGCTGAGGCAAAAGGCTCACCTGAGCCCAGGAGTTCGAGGCTGGAGTGAGTCATGATTGTGTCATTGTGCTCCAGTCTGAACTGGTGACAGCAAAACCCCAACTCAGAATATATATATATATATATATATATATATATATATATATATACATATGTATATATATACACACATATATATACATATTGTGTATATATATATATTCAAATATATAGACAGGACTGGACAGCTATATATTGCACCCAGTGCAAGTCACCATTTTATTTTATTTATTTTTATTTTTTGAGTTAGAGTCTCACTCTGTCACCCAGACTGGAGGGCAGTGGCCACTCCTGGCCCCCGCAGCCTCGACCTGCTGGACTCTGGTGATCCTTCCGCCTCAGCCTTCTGAGTAGCTGGAACTACAGGTGCACGCTACCACACCCGGCTAGTTTTTTTTATTTATTGTAGAGATGAGGTCTCTCCAAGTTGCCCAGGCAGGTCTCGAACCCGTGGGCTTAGGCAGTCCACTCACCTCAGCCTCCCAAAGGCGCGGGGTTACAGGCTGAGCCACTGAGCCCGGCTGCAAGTCACCATTTTAAAGTGTATAGTTCAGTGGCTTTTAGTATATTCACAAGGTCATGCAACCATCACCACAATCTCATCCTAGAACACTGACATCACCCCATAGAAAAATGGATACCTATTAGCTATCCCTCTCCATCCTCCCAACCCTAGGCAATCACTAGTCTTTCTGTCTCTGTGGATTTGCCTATACTGGACATTTCATATAAATGGGATTATTTAAAATATATATATATACTCACCAGGCTGACCAGTGAGCTCAAACGCTGCCTGGTGAAAACAGATGTACTTAAGGAAGCCCTGACCAAAAGAGGCAGCCAGAGTGACCGCAGGAGATAGCTAATGCACCCAAGGACAAATCTAGGTCCAAACCATCGTGACAAGCTAGAACCAACAGAATACATAATGTCTGGTATATTCTGTTCATTCTGAGAGGGCCAATTCCAGTCTGAAAAGCATGTTTGCTAAAGAATGGTGAAAAGAAATCAGACACATGTAACTGGGAAAAGAGAAAACGTGAAAGGCGTATTCGTTGTCTCCAAACACTGAAGAGCTGTCAAATGGGAAAGGGATTAGCACAGTGCAACTGCAGCCGGCAGAAGTTATAAGGAGGCATATTTCAGCTTAAGATAAGAAAGAACATTCTGGTGATTAGAGTCATTAACAAAAGATGGAATGGGTTGCCTGGAAAACCCAGCTTACTTCTCTAAGGAATGCTACAAAACGCTCCCGTGGATGGTGACGCTCTGAGCTGTAACTTCAAGGCTCCTTCCTGTTCTGGAATGCCATGTCCGGTGTTTGTGGCTATGTTTTAGGAAGATGACTTCCTCGTTGAGGCTCAGACACTTGTCCCTGAAAGCTTCCTCAGCCTCCTTACCAACCTGGGTGCTTGTGGTCATAGTCCAGCCTCTCCAGACCAGTTCCTCAGCTCTGGTTATGGGTCAGCACTGACACAAAAGTCAGTACTGTTGGCCGAATCATGAGCGTAACTTCCTGCCATCATGTGGATTTTTTATTGAGCTGTTCTTATTTCACAACTGACCAGAAGCCAACTACTGCGAAAAACTGACTCACCTAGCGTGGTCTGGTTGCAAACTTGACCATGTCATGCCCAGACAAACAAGGTGTAGGGTGAAATGGCAGATTATTCTACACCATTCATTGGTTGCAGACTGGTTCCCTCCTCACCTGCCAAGATGGGATTGTGGAATATCTACTTCTGACCATGGAGGCTCAGGAGAGGACCACATGGGGAGTGGAAGCTTCTGTCTGACTTGATCTCTGAGATCAGGATTGAATCTATTTGCAGCTAAGAACCACTTCCTTCCCTCTACATCTGAGTTCCTGTGAATTATCATTTCTTATGACAGCTTTACTAAGCTACATATTATATATACCATACAAGTCACCATTTTATTTATTTTTATCTTTTATTTTTTTGAGTCTGTCACTCAGACTGGGGTGCAGTGGCACTCTGACGGCCACCACAGCCTCGACCTGCTGGGTTCAGGTGATCCTTCCGCCACAGCCTTCCAAGTAGCTGGAACCACAGGCATGCGCTACCATACCCGGCTAATTTTTTTTTGGATTTATTGTAGAGATGAGTTCTCACCAAGTTGCTCAAGCTGGTCTCGAGCCCCTGGGCTCAGGCAATCCTCTTGCCTCGGCCTCCCAAAGTGTTGGGATTACAATCGTGAGCCACCACACCTGGTGCAAAGTCACCATTTTGAAGTATATAGTTCAGTAGCTTTTAGTATATTCACAAGGTCATGCAACTCTCACCACAATCTAATCCTAGAACACTGACATCACCCCATAGAAAAATGCATACCCGTTGGCTTTCCTCTCCACCTTCCCAGTCGTCCTCAACCCTAGGCAACCACTAGCCTTTCTGTCTCTATGGATTTGCCTATGCTGGACATTTCATATACATGGCATCACAAATCATGCGGCCTTTGGTGACAGGCTTCTTTTGCTCAGCATAATGATTTAAAGGTTCATCCATGCTGTAGTGAGTCAGTACTTCCTTCCTCTTAGCACTGTTGTACGGGTTATGCCACATTTTATTTGACCACTCATCCATTGATGGACAGTTGGCTTGTCTCCACATTTGAGCTATTGTGAATAACACTGCAGTGAGCATTCATGTATAAGTTTTTGTGTGGGCATAAATTTTCACTTCTCTTGGGTAGACAGGCGTACCTCAGAGATGTTGCAGATTTGGCTCCAGACCACTGCAATAAAATAAATACTGCAGCTGGGCACAGCGACGCAAGCCTGTAATCCCAGCGCTTTGGGAGGCCGAAGGGAGAGGACTGCCTGAGCTCAGAGGTTCGAGACCAGCCTGGGCAACTTGGTGAGACCTCGTCTCTACAGTAAATCAAAATAAATAAAATAAATACTGCAATAAATAAGTTGAATGAATTGCTGTGACTTCCCAGTACCTATAAAGGTTATGTTTATGGCCATTGCCTTGCTAGACTCTGGTGTGGCCATGTGCTCTTTGAGCTATGGTTGTTGCCATGCTCCCTGGCTTTGCCCCCCGCCTTGGGGAGGTAAATCTCTCTCTCTAACTTACTTTTTTCCTTTTTAGTTGGAGTCTCACTCCATTGGCCGGGCTGGAGTGCAGTGACACACTCAGAGCCACCCCCACGTCAACCTGCTGGGCTCCAGCGATTCTTCCGCCTCAGTCTTCCAAGTAGCTGGAACTACAGGCCTGCGCTACCACCTCCGGCTAATTTTTGATTTATTGTAGAGACGAGGTCTTGCCGAATTGCCTGGGCTGGTCTTGAACCCACAGGGTCAGGCAATCCACTTGCCTTGGCCTCCCAAAGTGCTGGGATTACAGGCTGAGCCACTGAGTCCGGCCTCTAATTTACTTTTATTTTATTTTATTTATTTATTTTTGAGTTGGAGTCTCACTCTGTTGCCCCGACTGGAGTGCAGTGGCTGCTCCTGGCCACTGCAACCTTGACCTGCTGGGCTCCGGCGATCCTTCCGCCTCAGCCTTCCGATTAGCCAGAATTGCAGGTGCGCGCCACCACGCCCGGCTAATTTTTTGATTTTATTATAGAGATGAGGTCTTGCCTGCCCAGGCGGGTCTCGAACCCACGGGCTCAGGCAATCCACTCACCTCAGCCTCCCAAAGGCGCGGGATTACAGGCTGAGCCACTGAGCCCAGCTAATTTACTTTTAAATAAACTATACTTTCTAATCTAAAAAAAGTCATGTTTACACTATATTATAGTCTATAAGTGTGCAATAGCATTATGTCTAAAAAAATAATGTAATATCTTAATTTTAAAATACTTTATTGGTCAGGTGCTGTGGCTCTCTCCTGTAATCCCAGTACTTGGGGAGGCCGGAGTGGGAGGACTGCTTGAGCACAGGAGTTCAAGACCAGCCTGGGCAACATAGTGAGACCTCACCTCTAGAAAAAAAAGAAAAAAATCAAAAAAAGAACCGGGTGTGATGGCAGGCACCTGTAGTCCCAGCTACTTAGGCTAAGGTGGAGCGATTGCCTGAGCCTAGGAAGTTAGGGATATAGTGACCTGTGATGGTGCCACTGTACTTCAACCTGGGCAACAGAGTAAGGCCTCAACTCAAAAAAAAAAAAAAGATCAAAATATTTTATTGACAAAAAAATGCTGAGACAAAGACAGAAAATGAGCACATGCTGTTGTAAAAATTGTGCTGATAGACTTTGACGCAGTGTTGCCAACAGCCTTTAACTTGTAAAAAAGATGCAATATCTACAAAGGACAATAAAGTGAAATGCAATAAAACAAAGTATGCCTATATCTTTTTTTTTTTTTTTTTGAGTTGGAGTCTCACTCAGTTGCCCAGACTAGAGTGCAGTGGCCGCTCCCGGCCACTGCAGCCTCGCCTGCTGGGCTCCTGCGATCCTTCCACCTCCGCCTTCCGAGTAGCCGGAATTACAGGCATGCGCTACGATGCCCGGCTGATTTTTTGATTTATTGTAGAGATGAGGTCTTGCTGCCCAGGCGGGTCTCGAACCCGCGGGCTCAGACAATCCCCTCACCTCAGCCTCCCAAAGGCGCGGGATTACAGGCTGAGCCACCGAGCCCGGCTGCCTATATCTTTTTTTTTGAGTCAGAGTCTCACTCTGTCTCCCAGGCTGGAGAGCAGTGGTATACTCACAGC